AAATTGTGGTGTAATATAACCTTGTATTCCTCCGAGCACTCAATCCTCATGTCCTTGATGTAGCGACGTGTCACTTATATAGTGTGCAATCACTACTATGGTTATTTTAGACATGCCTACAATCTTATAAAATTATTTTTTTCCAATATAGTATATGTTACTGGTTGGTCCTTGGGGGGAAAAAAAGTTTTTTGTTTTTTTTGCAGTGCAAAGAAATATAACAGCATGCGTGTGCATGTTATAAAGTATTTTTAAAGGACCACTCTAGGCACCCAGACCACTTCAGCTTAATGAAGTGGTCTGGGTGCCAGGTCCTTCTAGGGTTAACCCATTTTTTTAATAAACACGTGTGCGCATTCAGCCGAATGGGCGGAGAGGAGGAGGATCGGAAGAGGAGAGCTCCCCGTCTGGCGCTGGAAAAAGTACGTTTTTACCCCTTTCCTCTCCCCAGAGCCCGGCGGGAGGGGGTCCCTGAGGGTGGGGGCACCCTCAGAGCACTATAGTGCCAGGAAAACGAGTATGTTTTCCTGGCACTATAGTGGTCCTTTAAATAGTCAGAATGTGAGACATGTCGTTTGGTAGACATTAAAAAAGCTTAGTAAAAAGATTAGATAGATTCACACACTCAAAGATATATTCAAAATATATACAAAATAGGTATACCACCTATTGTAGATGTAGGTATGATGATTACATCTGTAAAACAAATGGAACATACATAGTGCTTTCCATATTAGTTAAAACAAACAATCTATAGTATATGAGGATTAAACTCACAAAGATGGAGCCTCATAGGCTCTATGTACATGACCCTTGGGTGCCTATTCAGGCTCTCGGTAAACTCCTGTTGAAGAACTCGAGGTCCACGATTACAAATGTAGATACAAATTTATTGAGTAGTAATAATAAAATATTAATATCTAGGGACAAGGTAAGGCAGGTATAAAAATAGAATATAGCACAGTACTGCACCGCAATTATGGCCAAAAAGTAAAAGCAGTAGAATACTACAACATATAAACAATAAAATAATACTGCCAAATAGAAAAAGTCCCAATCAGAAAGTCCAGTAAAGTGCAAACGCGTTTCAGCCCTTGATAGGGCCTTCCTCAGTGCTAAATTCCTGGAAAAACTTCCGGGCTTAAATAGCCCCCTTGATGCATTCAACTGGGTCCAGCTGTAATTTCGAAATGCCGCCGATCGATATGCTTCCGGTTTCGGCAAGACGCATGTGACTTCCGGTTGAATGCGGTCACGTGATGCTTTTGCGTTCCACCATGCGTTCCACGCTCGAGCATGGTGGAAATGGTCCCAGAAATGTCCATATTGGAAGAGGGCATTTGCCCATACAAGCTTAACCAAACATAATATAAAAATAAAAAAAATAACAAGCTGTGAATTAATGAATAGGTAACCATAAATCAATAAAAAATGTATATTAATATTCACAAAACACAGAACATGATAAGTGAAACCAAAAGGATATTAAAGGGGGAGGAAATGTCCAAAGAAAAAAAAAACAAAAAAAAAACATTTTTTATAAAAAATACGATAAAATCTATAAAAAATATATATATAGATAACATATATTATATAGTACACAGTACATATAAAATATATAAATGTTATAAAATTTATAAAAAATGGACTAATTCAAAGTCTATATTAAGACCTTTAGGGCACACAGTGTCCAAGGTAAAAATCCATTTGCCCTCTAGTTTACTCAATTCTCGGACATTATCCTCTCCTCTCCAATTCATCCGCTTTTTCCCAATCACCATAAAACTTAAAAGAGAAGTGTCACCATTATGATGTTCAATAAAATGCGCTGATACACTATGTTTGGTGTATCCCCTCCGTATGTTCCCCATGTGCTCCATAATGCGGGTTTTCAAACTTCGCCATTAGATATGGTCGCCATTAGATTTGATAATACACAAGGCCCCATTATTCAATCAGAAGAAAATCTAGACTTTGCTTGAAAAAAGCTAGAAAAATTGCTAATTTAGGAGACTAAAACTAAATGGGACATCTTTACCCTAGAACGTTACTTGGAGCAAAAAATTAGCCCAAGAGGTCTACGTTTTTTTAAAACCCCAACGTTTGACAGGGAAGATGAGGATTTTATGGAGATTTGGAACTCCGCTTTGGAGTCCTTTTCAGCTAGGATGATATCCATTATTGTACAGCAAAAAAAGCGTAATCTAATGCAGTTGGATATCCAGATTAATAATATCAAAGAACAACTTAAACCGGTAGTTAATTGCACAGAAATTGATAATGCATTAAAAATGGTGAAAAATAATGTGGAAAAAGTGGAGGAAAATACATTAATCATTAAAAAGAGGAAGTTCCAAAGGGACCAGAATGATTATGCTTTAAATCAAGTTAGATCCTTTTCCTGGAATTATCATTCCCACAATCAGGATTACTCTCACCGTAATAAGTTTAATCAATTTTCTAATAATTCGGATCGTAGGTTCTCAGGTGTGTCTAAAGGGAAAATCCAAAATGGTGTATCACCTATGTCTAGAAAATGTAGAGAACCCATTCACCCTCCCTACCAGTATCAGAATAAGAAGTTGTCTGCTCCGGTTTCTTCACCAGGTTGGCAAAGGAGTAGAAATAGAAATGGTTCTAGAACCAATTCTGCTCCTGTTTCTTCACCGGGTTGGCAGGGGAGCAAAAATAGAAATGGTTCTAGAACCAATTTTGCTCAACTGCCACCCCGGTTTTCCCAGACCAATAGGTATAGCATTTTGTCAGAGGATTCCACAGGAGATAAACCTCAAGAGAATCCTTCATCTTTCCCTTCATCCACTGCTCCTTTTTTAGGGCCACATCCCCTTCAAAGAACCGAGCGATTAATGAGAAAGAGAAATTGGGTTCAAGAAGAAGGGGAATTAGAAGTGGAAGGCCCATTAAAGGAAAGGAAGAGAGGAAAGACCAACACTTAGGTGTAGTTAACTTATCGAATAAAACCCTCACTGAAGATCAAGTGAGAGTGTTAAGTAAGGGATTAAAATTTGCCCCTACGTGTTTTAATGACGCTTTCAATTCTTTTATAGATTTACAGAAATTTAATCGTAAACTGTGTTTAAAAAAGTTTTTTTAAAAACATCCTCAAATTTTTTTTTTTAAAGAAAACCATGATGTGAATGATGATATGGTACACACTAAATTAAAGAATAAGTCAAAATTATTTCCTAAATACCACTCTAGTGGTGCTATGCAAGTCTTTGAAAGATTAGTTGTAGAAGATATTAAGAAAATCCCTAAAAATAAAAATAAAAGATTTGAAAATAACCTTAAACCAACAGAAAAAAGAGCCCTTATGGAACTAAGCAAAGATGAACAGATCATTATAAAACCCGCTGATAAAGGGGGGGGCTGTGGTGATCCAAAATAGGGATGATTACATAAAGGAGATTTACAGACAATCGGGGGATTCGAATACCTATTCAAAGTTGTCAGGTAACCCTATGGAGTCTATTAAGAATAAATATTTGAAATTAATAGAAAAAGGACGGACACTTAAGATTTTAAACAAGGATGAATATGATTATTTAAATGTGAAAGTTTCGAAAATCCCTGTGTTTTATACCCTCCCTAAAATCCATAAAAATAATACAAATCCACCGGGTAGACCGATAGTGGCTGGGGTTAATTCTCTATTGAGTCGGCTGTCTGAGTATATAGACATACTGCTGCAACCAGTAGTCACTTCACGACCAACTTATCTTAAGGATTCTTCCCATCTCATTAGAGAATTACAAAATATAACATGGGAGGAGGGTTACATATTGGTAACCTGCGATGTCAACAGTTTGTAGTTTCAGCACGATTTAGGGTGTGATTCTGTTAGACATTTTTTATCATATAGTTCGGTTCCAGAAACTCAAAGAGATTTTATTGTGGAAGGTATCCAACTTATTTTACAAAACAATTTTTTTTGGTTTGAAGGTTCTTATTTTTTACAACTGATCGGGACTGCGATTGGGACCAAGTTCGCACCGGGCTACGCCAATTTGTTTATGTCCTTCTGGGAGGAGTCTTTCCTCTCAAGGGATGTACCTTGGAGTGCGGACTTGGTCCTCTATCGCAGGTACATAGATGATATTTTTTTATTTGGAACGGGGGAGAACAGCACCTTATTTTATTTCTTCAATTTTTAAACAATAATTCTAGGAACATTACCCTTTCTAGTGAACATAGTATTTCCCATGTCAATTTTTTAGACTTAGTCATTTATATAGAGGATTCTTGTATTAAAACGAAAACGTTTTTTTAAACCGCTTGATGTCAATAGTTATATTGACACAACCAGTTGTCATTATGCTCCTTGGATTAAAAACATGCCAAAAGGACAGTACATACGAATGTTGAGGACTTGTACTGATCCTCACCAATTTGACATCCAAGCGGATACACTAATTTCGTTTTTTTAAAGAAAAACATTATGACCCCATAGTCTTAAAAGAACAAGTTCGGTTCATAGGGTATGACACTAAATAGTATACAGAGACTGAACACTAATTTTTTGTGTCCGGATATCCCAGTGATGTAATCTGTAATTGTGAGACCAGAGATTGTTCTTTATAGTACGATTATTGTGAGTCACCTATCTTAAATGGCTAGACTATGCAACATCACTCTGTGTCACTGACCAAGCCCCTCCCCCCCACGTCAAAGGGACCGACATACATAGATAACACGCTTCCAAAGAGGTCCATACACTCACAATTCCCCCACACAGACGACACACTGATGTCGAGAAGATACTAAGCAAACGACCATCCCACCACCCCCTAGAGGAACAAAAGGTACGGGGGATGGGACAAGAGGACATAGAGGAGGGAGGGGGGAAAGAAGGGAAAAAAAAAAAAGAATATATATACCCACATGTCCCAGATGAAACAACCCAGACATAATGAGTAGAAGACCCACAATGCACACACCCTGAAGAGATATCCCCAAGCCCCCACTTTGACTACACGCAAATTACCCTTACGGTACTTCCCCCCACCTGATACCGACGACACCGAAAAGGCGCAACAAACAGGCATAGTGCTGATAACACAATGGACACATATCAATGGCATTAGTGATGACTATACAACACCTCTACTACAGTGGACGGACGCTACAACCCCAAAACGGATATACACTACACAAATAACAGATTCTTCCGACGATACACAACCCTTCTCAAGTATCAACTCCACAACCAACACCGCACATACCACACAGGCACCACAGCCTAAACAGATAGGGGCCCAGACACGCTACCCACCCCTTTCGGTGCGCACGCTTAATACTACGGAGGCCGACTGGTACACCACCGGGATAAAACCCGGGGTGCCCCCCCGACCGACACCGTAGGCACACGAACTCCCTCTCCGCGGAGAGGATCACCTCCTCACACTATCACGACACGCGCACCACATCTATACTACTCTCCAACATCCAATTAAGAAACACACACCCCCACCACATGAACCAGACACGGTGCCTGACATCACCGAAAGGCACTGAGCCTGAGCAGACGACTCCCCTAGACCACACAAGAGCAAATACCAACACACCACATACACCAGACACCCTACACGTGACCGCAGTCCAGCAACTCACCCGAACGCCCCCCCCCGGCGCTCCTGACCCGGCCGTGGCGTCCGCCTCGAGCTAACCGCCAGACGACGCAGGGACACCGAACCACACCAAAACCCAGGAACCAAGCTACGGGCTCGGGCTTCCTCGGTCGACTCTCACGTACACAAGAGAGCGAGACTCGGACGAGGGACCCCGATACCCGACAAGACAACACCGCTGCGCGGAGATACGGGCAAGATGGCATACAGACCAGACCCAATGAAAATCATCACACAAAATTGCAGGGGACTGAATCTCCCAGAACGCAGAACTAATCTCTTGAGGGACCTTCAGAGAGAGAGGGTTGCAGTCGCTCTTCTCCAGGAAACTCACTTTCGGGAGGGAGCGGCCCCGGCACTCAAAAACAAACAATACCCCACTAATTACTTCAGCAACCACCCCACAGCGAAAAAGGCAGGGGTCGCGATCCTTATAGCAGCTCGTCTACAATTCCAGGAACAGGATCACCTTATAGACCACAACGGCAGATACGCCTTCGTAAAGGGGAATATCGCAGGACGATGCTACACGTTCGCGACAATCTACGTCCCCAATAATAACCAATCTAGATTCCTTAAGAACACACTAAAGGCACTAACAGACTTCACGGAAGGAACCCTGGTCACGGGAGAAGACTTCAATGTCACACTAGATCCTAAAGTAGACTCCTCAACGGGACACAGCAGCATTCCACAGAGAGAAATAAGAACCATAAACCATACTCTGAAAACACTGCGCCTGGTAGACTGTTGGCGAACGCTAAACCCATTAGACAGAGAATACACTCACTATTCCATAATACACAAAAGATACTCCAGGATAGACTTCTTATTATTGCAACAAGAAGCACTAATAAGACTTAGGAGAGCATCCATACACACTGCAACATGGTCGGATCACGGACAAGTGTCGATAGACCTCGAATCTCCACTCATAAGACCGACGAAAACGACGTGGAGACTCAACGACTCCCTCTTAACCGATCTTCCACTAAGGGCCCAAGTCACCGACACTCTACAGACATATTTCACCGAGAATGAGACGGGAGACGTATCAGATATGACAATATGGGAGGCACACAAAAGTGTACTCCGGGGCAAGCTCATCCAAATCGCGTCACAACGGAAAAAAGAGGCGGGCACACTTATGTCAACCATCCTGGACCGGATCCGCTCCCTGGAAACACAACACAAACGCCAACAGGTGGAAGATACCTACAGGGAACTATTAGAGGAAAGAAGGAGACTACACGCACTACTACTCAAGAGACACCTGAGACAACTCCGCAGATCTAAAGGGTTCTTCTACCTCCACGCAAACAAAGGAGGCAAACTCCTCGCACACATGCTCAGGGGACAACAACACCCCTCACAAGTCCACAAATTAAAAACAAGCAACGGCACTACTACCCAAAACCCGGAGAAAATCGCCAAGGAATTCTTCACTTACTACTCCTCACTTTACAGTACACACTCACAAAGCGACGAAGAAGGCAAGCGAATCAAACAAGGTCGCATGGAATGCTTTCTGAGAGAACATCTACACACGACGGTGACAACCGAAGACGCAGAGAACATCGACCGCCCGATCACCGAAGACGAAGTTAAGACAGCTATTAAAACGACGAAGACAGGCCGCGCACCCGGACCCGACGGACTTACACTGGACTACTACAAACGCTTCCAAGATATACTAGCCCCCAAACTTACAAAGGCGCTCAATGCCATCACTGAGGGACATGCATTCCACGCCGAATCACTGTCGGCCACAATTACAGTAATCCCAAAACCAGGCAAGGACCCGGAAATTTGCAGCAGCTACAGACCCATCTCCCTCTTAAACGTGGACACAAAACTCTTTACCAAAATATTAGCTACCCGACTTAGCAACCTAATGCCAACACTCGTACACCCTGATCAAACGGGATTCATACCGGAACGGGAGGCTCGAGACAGCACTCTGAGAGTCCTCGCTATACAACATTTAGCAAGACAACATGGAACACCACTCCTGCTACTCTCCACGGACGCCGAAAAGGCGTTCGATCGAGTGGACTGGGCATTCCTGGAAATGACGATACGACTATTGGGCTTTAATGACAACATACAGAAATGGATCGGAGCGATATACAGCACTCCGACGGCAGCGGTGCGCGTTAACGGAGCCTTGACGGAATCCTTCCCGATTCGCAATGGCACGAGGCAGGGGTGTCCCCTGTCCCCGCTACTGTTCGCATTAACATTGGAACCCCTATTGGAGGCAATCCGACGAAATATTAATATCTCGGGCTACAACTGTACAACCGCCACACATAAAGTAGCCGCATACGTGGATGACATGTTGTTCTTCATTACACGTCCAAGACTCACCCTACCATGCCTAATGGAAGAATTCGAAAAATACGGACGCCTCTCGGGCCTCAAACTTAACTTGAGTAAATGCGAACTGCTCAACATCACAGATCCGCTTGGGGAACACAGGGATATAGCCTCGACCTTCCCGTTCCGTTGGTGCCAGACCCAAATGAAATACCTGGGGATATGGGTGATGTCTGACCCAAATGCCATATATCAGAAAAACTTCCTCCCACTTCTCACACGCATTCAACAAGACCTCCGAACCTGGAATTACCCACACATCTCATGGTTCGGCCGCATAGCGGTCATCAAAATGAATATCCTACCCAGACTACTATATTTATTTCATACAATCCCAGCGACACTACCGACGATCTTTTTCGCGACAATAAAAACCGCATTCCTGACCTATGTCTGGAGAGGATGCAGGCCTAGACTACGATATGAACTATTATGCAAGACCAGGAATCAGGGCGGATTGGCACTCCCAGACCTACGCAAATACCACCAAGCGACAGCCTTGCAGCGGATACTGGAATGGCATACTAACCCGAGAGGCAAACAGTGGGTGGCCTTAGACAGAGAATCCTGCAGCCCATCTATTTTTGCATCCCTATGGAATCAGAAAACGCCACGGAGACACGACCCCGGCACAAATTCACCAGCGAGTCACACCCTCCACTTATGGTCTACAATAAGGAACGCAACGACCATCTCCCCAATACCCAGCCCGATGACCACGCTAACACATAACCAAGCAGTGGGGGGAGGACTACCGATCAAGGCCTGGGATTTTCTAGAGGGAAGAGACTTCATACCACTCCACAAAACACTAACCGCCTCAGGACTGACCCCCCTGGAACGCCTAATGGAAGGCCCGCCAGCTCCCATGCACAAATTCCGATACTCCCAGCTGACGCATTTCTACCACACCCTACCGAACAAACAAGCGGTACACAGAACCCTCACGTGGTTTGAGGACATCTGCGACAAACAAACACCGACTCAGAAACCAACGTCGACGCTATACCAATACCTAATCACAGGTGAGCAGCAAACAACCCGACGATATAAGGAAAAATGGGAAAACATCACCGGCACAGTGTTCACCGACGCACAATGGGACAAAATTCTCATCCTCCATCACAAATCCACGATTAGCTCAAAATACCAAGAAATGAACTATAAGCTGCTGACATTCTGGTACAGAACCCCAGACCTGCTCCACAGAATATTCCCCAACACATCGGCAACCTGTTGGAGATGTGAAGCAGACATAGGAACACTAAAACATATATGGTGGGACTGCCCCAACATTAAACCGTATTGGAACCAGATTACGTCCCGCATCAAAGAGGTACTAGGACACACGACGCACCTATCACTAGACAACATTCTCCTGCATCACACCAAAGACCCGATTTCAAAATACAAACGATCCATCCTGCGACACCTTCTCGACGCGGCCAAGGCTCTAATCCCTGCCTTATGGAAAACGACAAACGCCCCCACAATGGAACAATGGCTAAACAGGGTAGAAGAGATCAGATTCGCAGAAGAAATGCATGCGACCCTACGAGACACCCTCACGAAACATGTTGACAAGTGGCAACCTTGGATAAAATACGTGGCAAGACGTGATGGGGAGAACGCGGCGGCTGGAGAGGGAAGTTAAGGGGACTTCCACCCATCCCTACTCCTAACAAACCACATACACTACACGCAATAAAACTACAACGCTCACACGATCAACACACCGCCAACACACAATCACCCCATGAACACAACCAATGAGGACACAAGACATAGCAGCATATGATACTGGCAATAACTCACCAACCCCCCCCCCAAAAAAAAAATAAAAAAAATTATATCATACAGACATCTCATTAAACCCAAACCGACTATCCCGACTCATGCATCACTACCCAAGTTAGAACTGAACAACAGGAGATACCCAAGTAAACCTCACACACTAACACTCCGTGCTACTAGACCTACTCCTCCATCTTACTTACTACGTACTCACAAATACTTCTCACAGATAAAAGTACACGACGGAATACAAATCTCAAACCCAACGCCTTGCAATTCATGGAATGCGCAGACACACACACCCACATAGACACAACACACACAAAAGTCTCTTCACATACAAGATACACCATGCTAAGACACAAGCTGCCTCAATTAACTG